TAAAATTCAGCTGACATCGTGGAAGCATTTTTCAACGCCGCGTACGCATTCCGGAAAAATCTGCTTCAGAGATCCCGAGAGCGATTGCATTCTTGTCATCCACGCTGCAAAAATCAGGTGTTTCGCAGAAGTCAAACTCCCTTATTGTATGTACGTCGGTACATCTTTTGTGTTGTTTCAGAACAATTCCAGGCTTCTTTTTCCACCGAGGCAAAGTATTGTTTATGAGGATATCTTCTTTAAACCGTATCCGATGAATTATTAAAATACAGATCGAAAAGAGTTCTGTTTCGGTTGGGAAAGAGTGTAGCTTTCCTATTGCTTTTGTATAGCTGCGAAAGATGAGATTACTTGGTCTTGTCCATAACGCGGTCTTTTAGAGGTGTTAAAAGTTTGAGGAAGCTAAATTTCAGTGTTGTATGTGAGTTCGATTTAAAGTACAGTTGTTGTGTAGATAAATTAGCGGTTGGCAGAGTCGCTCTTGCTTCTGCAACTAGCGGGAATTTTTTCATTATAAAGATATGGGTTCGTTTAATATATCGATAGTTTCTTCATAATGTTTTGTATACCTGGGATGACTCACATAATGTATTGCAAGTCGTAAAGGATCGTTTCACTATAAATAATTTATCACTTTATGTATTCACGATTTATTTCCTTTATGCTGTAAACCGTTTCATGCAAATGCCGTGGAATTGAACTATGAAAAGGGCAAAGATGGTCTCCAATTTGACATGATACTGTTGTCTTTTATGTTCGCACGAAAAGGAAAGTTTTACTAGATCTTCTTAAATAATTACTTGGTCCTATTCCCCGCTGATCTCGAATTGAGCTACAGACAAAAGAATATTATGTATCGTGAGACTCATGTGTCATATTCCAAAGTTTTCATGGTTTTTGGTCACTTGGGGAAAATTTATACCAAATTATGTTTCTTTGTATGACATTTGTTTCATCCTGTTTCTTGATGGTTCTAATTGTTTTGTCATTGGGTTCAAAATCTGTCTTTCATTCTGGTTCAAAAATATCATCTTTTACATAACTGAGAAAAATGTATGACAATGGACCGGAACATTTTAGTGATTATTCAAATCTGTTATTTTGAGGGTTTTCTTTTAGTGTTTTTTTTTTCTTTCATTGCAAGAAAGTTTGAATTAGTCAGAGTTCACTAGCCGATTAACTCATCCTTCCATGTTTGAGCATTGTAAGTCAGAAGATTTAATCTATTTTGGATTAAAGGAAAGTTGACTTTGAGTCTCCTTTAAGTTTGACAGGTAACAAAGTTTATTTGCAGTCTTCTTAAGTGTGGGCACATTTTTCTTTAAAGGATGCTTGTCTCTGGTTTGAGCAGTTTAAATTTCTTGTTTTTGCTCTCAGGGCTATTTCCTATGTATTGCTTGTTTCAGCGAAGAATGATAGAACAGTTGGTGGATTCAAAGGATGGATAAATTGTCTGGCTAAAGTGTTTTGAGCACTGCCATTGAATTACCATTTAAGTGACATTACAAAGTCTTTCTCTTTGTGCTTTCTGTTTGCTTCAAAGTGCAGTTCCTCTTTGTGGAAGGTATGTACATCATCAGCTGGTGTGAAAAGGTCAAATTTATTGCTATTTCTTGGAACTTACATAGATGTCACCGATTTGAATTTAGCAAGAAACTACTCTCTCTCAGATACACACAGTTAATGAATACCTCTTGAATTTCTCAAGGGAGTAGCCAAGATGTCTGTGTATTTTTTATGGTGCAAGTTGAGTAGGAGGTTTTTGGATGAAAGCATTGAGTATGTCAATATTTCATCAATGCCACTGAATTAAACCAAGAACCACAAACTTTTAATCAAGGCCAGGTGAAATTATTCTTAATTGAAATGTGGCCAAGACTACTAAGCTGGTTCTCCCAGAGTAAGATGAAGAATGCAAAACAATAATTATTTGGCATAGTCAGAATAGGTAATTATTTATTCAATCTTCCTATACAGTGTTATTTGTGGAGCTTTTCTTTTACTACGACGTTTGTGGAATCTATTCTGTTTTACAAAAATGCAGAATGGTAGGTTTTAAGGACGGGATGCAAAATATATTTTTAAATGAAAGTAGTTCTCAAGGATCAATCAGCAAAGCAATTTTCTTTTGATTTTATACTTGGGAAGTATAGTCATTTCAGGTCACTATTTTTCTGGGTGTTAGTTTTAGTAGCTGCATTAGTGATAAAGGGATTTCCTAGTCATTGTGGTAATTGCGTTACCCCTGAATGTGGGACACCCACAGAAAACATAATTTAGATTCAGTTATTCTTTTTATCTTTCTGTCTACAGAAAATAAAACATCATTTTAAGGGTTTGATTCTTAAGTTCTTGCTTTTAATGCATGGCCAGTCAAAATGACACCAGAAACTTAAAAGCGGTTTAAGACGTAAAACATGGTTTAGTCTTTTACTGCTTTAGATTATGGTATTTATTTTTACCAAGTACAATATTGGAAAACTTCCATGTTGTCCTCTCATGCCTTCTTATTTGCCAACAATTCACTATGAGCCTAATTAGCCAAATGTAAACATGAGGCAAAGACTGCCTCATGACATGCAAATAACTTATTTCAGTTAAACTATTTGTTGTTATATGCCAAATACATGCATTGTACTTGATAACCTGAATGAGCTGGAGTGAAATCGATTTCATTTATCCTGTAATGCTTTTTTGTCTCTTCATTTGTGCAAAGAAATATTTGGTTAACATTTTTAGATCTCATTTGGTAAGCTAGCAATATTGTTGTGAATCTGATTGTCTCAATGGGAAGACTCCCATCTAGGTATTCCTGGAAAGAGTAATAAATGCTAATTAATAATGTTCCCTTAATTCATTAACTGAAACCCCTGACTTAATGAAGAAAGCAGTTATATAAGGAGTTTCGAAAACTACAATATTATTTGCAGAGAGATTGAATCAAACCTCTGGAACCACCAGCCTTGTGTTTTAATTGAAGGGAGTGGATTGGTCTGTAAGTGCACTT